GTGCTTCCTCTTCCCTTTGGCATGTGAGTGAATATTGCAACAGACAACGTGTCTGCAAATCACCACTACCCTGCACTTCATCAGTCTGGGTCTGCACTTTAGTTGTGAGAAGAGAATCAGCCTGATGAAATATCCTTTTACTTACCCTGGTTGGCTGAACCAAAAAAAGCCTGACCCAAACCCCAGCATTGAGAGTGACACAGAAGATGGTCTGCTGAGTTATACCCCATGGGAGTGTCCAGCCCATCCAAACTCCTGCTGCCAAGGGTTGGAAGTCACTGAATGGGCTGAACCCATGCAGTTTTAGTAGATACCAACAGTAAAACCAGAATACAGCACATGCTGTGAAGCCTTGAGTTCACTTAACTCAGGAAAACCCTGGCTAGACCGTGAGAAGAAGGGCTAGCGAAGCACCCAAGGCTGATGGCTCAGCCCCTCATTATTCATCCTCTGGGCTCTGTCTCACTAGACATTTAGCACCTTTGTGGGCTTGTTTTTGGTAGAGAGATGTGACTGAAACAACAGGATGTCTGTTTCTAGATGGGGTGTCAGGTTTAAGTAAGTGCAGAGCATTGTGGAAGGCTCCACACAGGTAGCAGCCTGGCTTGCTCCTTACGGCATTATGTGGCTCAGCTGTGCACAAACCAGAGCACTCCTGGCTTGTCTGGATCCCAGCCAACAAAGGATGTTGTAAAAACGTGTCTGGCTTATAATTTAATTTTGCTAAGGTTAGAACATTGCTTCTATTAGTGAAAAGCAGAAGGTAGTTTTGAGATTATGGCAGGAAATCTACAGTCAGTTCCTAGCTCCAACAGAGACTTTCCTCATACGCTGTTGGGCAAGCCAACCAAAACTCACATGCTTTGTACCCTGAACTTGTATTAAAAAAATTATACTTCCTTCTGTTCTTTGTCTTGGCTATTTGGACAGTGAGCACTTGGGGAAGAGAAGGGCTTTCACTCTCTATTTATACTGTGCCTGGTTCTTCGAGGTGTCAGCCTGCAGTATTCCCTCTACACAAATAGCAAGAAAGAATAAATAAGTTAAAATGTGTATTGTTATGTAAGTGTACAACAACCAAGCCCAGTAAAGCTGTGGTGTTTGGTGTGTTAGGCACATGAGCCAGTACCTCTGAGCATCACCCTGGGTTGATGCCATGCCATGGGACCACAGACCCTTCTGCGGTGTTTAGTCCCTGGTTCTGTGTATCCATGTTCAGCTTATCTCACCTCCTGCCCTCCAGGCTGCCCAGAAAGGCCAAGAGGAACTTCTAAATGGAATCAATTACAGCCCTGAAGATCAGGCATGGTCAAGCCTGCATTTATTTTTGGGTGCTGGAGCTGCCAACCAGGAGCTGCCTGCTATCAGCTATGCTCAGGGCAGGGGAGGGGTAGCATGACCAACCCTCCTCACCCCTAGGAATGCTGTATTTACTCTGAGCAGATTTATGCATGAGATGTGTTTTCACTAGGAAGGCTTGTTTCTCTGCTGCATTTGAGCTCTCAGCATGTGGACTATTTTTTGAGCAAGTAGTGGGCAGAGAGAGCAAAAAGAGCAAACATACACAAATCGGATAGTTTGGTTTTATTTCCAAACAGGCATACACAGAACCGTAGGGAGTACAAGAGGGAGAGGGCAGCATATCCTCTTGCTCCAGTATATAAATGAACTTTCTAGGCTGACCCAGACTCCTAAGAGTAGAGGCAAAAATATAAGCTACGTGACTAGTGGGAAGAGAAACAGCCAGCAGGAAAAATCTATCAGAGCTTTCCATGGTTCAATCAGTCAGAGCCTGCTTCACTGGGGAAACAATCAATTAACCACTTCCACTAGGGCAGCCACAGACGTGCTGTTCTGGAGGTAGTAAATCTTTGAGTTTATTTGTTCTCAGTTGCACTCTCAGCTTATTTACAACATTACAGGAATCTTCCTCCCTGTTTATCCTCACTTCTCCAAGTCCCTCCCAAAGATCTTCCTGTCCATGTTGATCAATGAAGAATAACTCTTACAGATTAATAATTTCCAGCTTCATTGCAAATCCCAATTTCCCTTAAACAGGCAGCCAAAACAAACAGTTTCCTCCAGGCATCCGGAGGGCATTACGCCTTTAACTGTCCACCCGATTTCCAGCTGTCAATGCATTTTGTCTCACTTTAAGGCAGATAGTTTTGGTTTAGGATGTTTTGGCCCAACCAATAATCAAAGAGCCCTGCAGGACACATATTTGTCCTGGCCCTGAGGAGCAAAATGTAGCAGTAAAATGAGAGGCAGATGACACCAAAGCTAAGGGATGATGTTTAAAGCACTCAGCCCAAGCCACTCTGTGGCAGACGAGAGCAGGGAAAGACTCGAGCATGGCTGGTCCCACAGATACAGTAAAAAGGGAGGTGGAAGACAGCCTAGCAAAAAATGCATAAAAGGAGCATTTAGAGAATGTGACCAAGTGGTGCTGAGTTGTGCAGGTGCAAGGGGTTCAGACTGTGTCTCTGGAGGAAGCTGGCAGATAGATGAGCAGGGAGAAAGGTGCACAGAGGTGGGTGGAGATGATCATGGTCCTCCTCAGCACCTCAAAAGAAGGTCTCAAAGCATTAAAAGCAGAAGGGTCTTCAGTGCTAGTATGCTGGTGAAGAAAACAGAGTGTTGGAGACAGAGATTCGCTCTCCAAACCACAGGCCTGTGTTTGCCATCACTGTGCTTTCAAGCTGTAGTGAAACAAGCAATTTAGATGGCCACAGCATAAAGCTGAGATTAAACTTCTATTCCCCATTTAATTTTTTTATTGCAGTCTTTAAATTAAAATAAAGCAGCTGTCAGCACTTTTAGGTAACTTCTGTGCCTGGCAACCTGGAAGCAAATTTTGATTCACAGATGCCTCTTGCTCCTCCAATCAAATGTGCTGGCAGGACTGGTAGACAGGAGCTGTCTTAACAGTTTTAATGCACCTAAATTTGTGGCTGTAGCTGCTGTTAATGCCTTGATTGGTGCTATTGAAATCTCTTCTTAAACATATGGTAATACATTCCTCACTGATTCCCCTGCCTTTCAAAACTCAGACCTGGAGATATCATTGTCTGTAATAAGTTCATTCTGTTCCTTCTGCTTTACTGCCTGCCTGGCCTAGCTTTGATGAAGTAATTCATATAACTTACTAACTTCAGAGCAAGTTTTGATCAGTTTTTGAATTAAATAACGCATTTTCTTTTGGGAAGTCCTGCAAACTCATCTTGGCATCTGATATTCATATGACCTCTTCCATTCTGGATGCATCACCAGTAATGAAGAACCTGGATGTCAGGGCTGAGAGTGCACTAGTTGGCTTTAATTGCCCCAAAAAGCTTCATTCAAGCCTCACATTTACTCTCTCTGTCAGGAGCTTCATCTAACCTCCAAGCCTGGGGGGCTTCTAGCTCTTGCCTGGGCTGTAGGTGAGACTGTCTCAGACCTGTTCCTGAGCTGATGTTTGGCTTTCCATGGATGACTTTGGAGCTGGTGTGTTGATAGGAGCCACTGCCATCACCTGCTGCTGTACCTCCTGTGGCAGGGACGGTGCCTGGTCATAGGGCTGTCCCTGCCCTGTGCAGAGGCTGCTCCTGGCAACCCTTCCCTGGCAGCAGCCCTGCTCTGCCACAAATACAATACAGCTCTGGTAGGATTTGCAGTAGATAGAAGACTTTTAATGGATTGATTCACTAGCTGTTTGAGAATGGAGAATACAGGTTGTTGTCCTGGAGCACTCAATGTGTATTAGCTTTAGCCACACTTTTCCTAAGGGAGATACTGGACTCTTAATATGCATTTTTGGATTAGCACAAACAGGCCTGTCATTTCAGGGGGATGGCATTTAGTTATCAGGATGTGGAGACAGACCGAGAGAACCAACAAAGGAAGAATGTCTTCCTTTGCTCCCTGAGGGAACAGCAACCTTTCTGTGCAGACCACATCACTAGTGGAAAACACTCTGTCTAATACCATCCCAGGTTTTTTTTTTTCACTGAATAAATAAGACTTTACTGCATTTCCCTCCCCAAAGCAGGAATGGGAGATGCTGGGATGTCTCTGCCATTGGCAGCACCTGTGGACGGCTGAGAATCTTGAGCCACTAATTGTCCATAAAGCTTGTTGGAAAAGAAATGAGACTTGGGGAAGGATCTAAAATTGGCTCATTTCACAGAGCACAGCAGCTTCTATCCCAGGGTGTGCTGGAGAATGGGCTTAATGCTGAGCCACAACAGGCATCAGCCCTCCTATTTAATGTACACACCAAGGAAAACATCCCGGTTTATGTGATTTCTGCCTGGGACTTGTATACATCCAAATAGCGGCTTTTGTATTTGGGGGAGGGATTTTCTTGTGTGTCTAAAGAGAAGTATGTGGGAGAAGGCTGGGAGCCGGGCTGCTCCTCCATTCACGCCGGGGTCACTTATATCCCCGCTCTTTGGGAAGAAACCTTCAAGGTTCTACACCTGAAAGCTACAAGGTTGTTTTCTGCCGTTTCACTCAGTGAGATCAAAGCCAGCACCACGCTCTTCCCCCCGCACCTCTTCCTCTATTTCACTTTCTCAGATCAATTGACAAGCAAACCGACACCTGCCTTATCTCTGCGCTCGGGATGCGGAGGACCTTTCCCTCAGGCCGGGCTCGGGGCAGGGCGGGGAAGGGGCGCGGCGGTGCCGGGGCCGCGGCGGGCGGGGGGCGCGCGGCCTCCCGGGGCCGGCCCGCGATTGGCGGGGCCGCGATTGGCGGCGCTGAGGCGGCGGGGCGGGCCGGGGCGGGCCGCAGGGCCGGGCGGCAGCAGGTGGCTGCGCTCCGCTCCGCACCGCTCCGCGCTCCCGCCCGCCTCGCCCGCCTCGCCTCTCCGCTCCCCGCCGCCTCAGCGCGGCCCCGCCGCCGCCAAGACGCCGCGGGCCGTGCTCCGAGTGAAGAATGGGGCGGCCAAGCTCGCCAAGCCGCCCGCGGCCGCGGGCGAGACCCCCGGCGGCGCCCCCGGACCCGGGCTCTTCATGGAGCGGTCGCAGAGCCGCCTCAGCCTCTCCGCCTCCTTCGAGGCCCTGGCCATCTACTTCCCCTGCATGAACAGCTTCGACGAGGAGGACGCGGGTACGGGGGAGCGGGCTGTGGAGCAGCCGGGGGCGGTGGTTCCCGGGGCTGTGTGTCCGCCCGCCCTGGGCGATGTGGGCAGGCAGGGTGGGTGTGCAGCTGTCAGCGCTATCCCCGACCCCGCCGCGGCTTTGGGGGACCGCGGGTTCATCCCCGGGGGTGAGCGAGGGGTGCTGGGGACTGCTAGCGAAGGGATGCGTGTGCCCGTGGAGGTTAAACCTGGGAGTGTGTTCCAGCGGTGGAACACGCTCCGGCTGCCAATCGATAGGAAACACGGCTTATTTGCAAATGGAGCGGCTCACGCTCCATCCTCTGTGTGAGTGAAGGGCAGCGCTCAGGGAGAAGGCGTCCATTCTGCCGGGTGGTGTGTCCACTCTGGTTTATACACCATCAACTCTCGGGCTAATTGTTCCCAGGGCTTGTTAGCGCCGTACACCATGCTGCTCTTGGAGAGGGGAATAAAGGGATTCAGTCTAAATGAGAGCAGAGTAAATCCCGAAAAAAAAGCCTTTCAGAATGGATGCAGTGATTTTTTGCCGGCATCAGAAAGACCTTTCTGCTCTCAGACAGTTGGTGGTAGTCATAAAATGAGACCAGGCTTAAAAAAGAGGGGCATTGGCAGGGAAAAGTAGGAAAGGCATTGGGAGAGGAAGGGTGGTGGGTGCTGGAGAAGGTGCTGGGAGTAGAGGGCAGCACAGCCGCTGCGTGGGGAGGGAGGGTGAGGGAGTGGATGGAGAGCACTCTGTCCATTCCCGGTGCCTCCCTGGTAATTGAGGGGTGTTTTTCCCAGTGCATGCTGTACCAGAGACCCTGTAAGGGAATCTCGTGAGTGGCAAATAATGAAAGTTGGTAACTACGGCGTATTTTAACACCTACTGTCATGGTTGCATCCCTCAAAATGCCGGCATGCTCCTTTGTCTAGTGGCTCATCCCAAGATGTGCAGATGCCAGCAGGAATACATCAGCCTGCCAGCTGCTACACCTGTAACGATGTTGTTTTTAAAGGAGTTGACGTAAGAATATATTCATCATCTGTGTGATTAACCTAGACTTGTCATCAGCAAATCATGCAGGGGTGGCAGGCAGAGGATTGTCTCCTCCAACAGATGTAGCTTTAAAAATTTTTGTCTAAAAATCTGCTGATGATTTATTTGCACTTCAGATTTGGCTCAAATGCCAAGGAGCGTACAAGACAATAATGGGAGCTTTGGGAAGTCTCAGTGCTGTTGCCTCAGGAATGATTGATAGTGAGACATGCTCAAGTATGAGAACCCAACACAGTGCCTGGGACAGCATTTCATTCCCTGGTGTCCAACCCCTCCTGCTCTGAGCAAGGTGATAGTTTAGGTTAATGCTTCCTCTTCCAGCGCTTAAAAAAAACTGCTTTTGCACTGAATTGTATTTATTCACACTTAGTGAATGTTCATGCATGAATGTTAATGAGCTGCTCTTAACCCAACACAAGTACTTGTCTCTGAATTAAATAAATCTACAATTAAGACCACATTCTCCAGCAGCTTATGAGCAGATCCTGCCTGGGTGAGTTGTCTCATTAGTGCAGCTGCTCAGGGTGGATTCAGTGCAATGGGGATGTTGCAGTGTTGCTCCTGTGTTTCGTGCCTGTGAGTGTGTGTTCAGACACGTATGAGCAACCAGCCAGGAAGAACGTGTGCTGCTTTCTACTTCTGGTCTTAAAACTACAAGTGTATAATTTTCTCAAGCAAATAGGTAACATGAAAGAGAAATTATAAGAGAAATGCTGAAATTGTGCCAGGTAAGATTCTGTATTATTCAGACCCATGCACGCTTCTGAAATTGTGAGAGATTCTGACCAGTTTGGGTTGCAGCATGGTTTCTGTCAAAAAAATAGATCTTGATAGCTCATTCAGGGAGATGGATACTGCACTTGGCAAGATGTTCTCTGTAGGAGGTGGAAGAAAAAAAAATGAAATTGATCCCAGGAGCATTGACAAAGTAAACAATCCTATTTCAAACAGACACATCATCCATTTTGTCTGAAGCTGAGAACCACATCTTTAAGAGAATTGTCGTCCTACGGAAAAGGGAGAAGAGCTGATAAATGGCCAAGCTTGAAGGAAATTTGATGTTTTCCTCTGAAAGAGGAAGACAGCCTAATGATCACTTAAATCTACAAACAAGAAAAATTCTTGAGGTGTTTCATTTAAGTTATTATGGGGGGTTATATCAAAGGAGCCTAAAAGAAAATTTACAGGTGTGCTGAGAGCCATGGCCACATTTGGGCAGTGGTAACAACACCTATGGCTTCCAGTATTTTGCCCTTTTAGTCTGGAAAAATGACTGCTTTTGGAAAATACAGAATATACTTATATGATATTTCCTTTTCTGCCATGGCTCTTTTGCTCTTCTTTGCTGTCTACCCAGTGGACATAAGGTGAGAAGGCTCTCCTCATCTTCCACAATTCCTTTGCCTGGTACAGCTGCAGTGTGTCTGGATGGAGTTCTGGGCAGTGAAGTGGGTATGGATGATCTCTTAGTGTGCAGGAGCAGTGGAGGCAGGAAAGCAGTGGGGCTTGGAGGAAGAGACAAGATCCCGTTTTAGTGCTTCCAGAGCATGAGGTTGATGGAGTTTGAGATATTTCATGTCCGTGTGTCTCTCCGAAGAGGCGGATGTGGACTTCAGTGTTCCAATACCATTTTCATTCCTCAGCTGAGTCTACAAAGAAGATGCTCTGAGGAAATGTGGAGCTTTTTTTGCCAGCAAGTTGCAGTGGGGCTTTGAAATAGCCAAAATGCACTCAACAGTTCAAGGACTCAGGGTTAATAACTCTTTTGATCTCAGCATGGTAATGTTGCTGGCCTTTCTGCTGGCTGAGTGCCACTGTCTTTGCTCCACTGAGGTCCCCAGCAATGCCAGTGAAGTTTAAGGATTTTTAAACTGCAGTTATTATCAGAATAATTGTTGGTTTAACTTATGCAAATGTCTATCCTACGTTTCAGCTATAGAGTAGTAGAGTAAGAAGAGATAAAAGTCAGTCATGCACTCTTTGTGGGCACATTTCTAGAGTGCCTGTTTCTAACACAAATCTTGTGAACACAAATCTTAGCTGTTCTGAGGATCTGCCATACGCTTGGTCTTGGCTGGAATCAGCCGTTTGGAATGCTGATATTCCTGTGGGAACATGTCAGAAGGAACCAAACTGCTGAGGACTGAACTTGCCAAGTGGCAAGTGTGTGTGGGTTAATAGCAGGATCCATGATGTCTCTGGTCACCTGCCTTGTAGGCAGCTTGTGGTGCACCTGGGTGCAGCTCATAATTAAAACAGAGGGAATAGGGTGTACAAAATCCTCCTCTGACTGATGGTGGCCTTAGCACAGCCCTCCCCAGTTCAGGGTGAAGGTAATCCTTAAGGTTAGTGGGGGAGAACTGTCTTGCTCCTTTTGTGGAGCATGAAGTTTGGAGACTTGGCTAAAGCAGAATAGAAAATAAGGATTTTTTAAAGAGTAACAGCAACCGATTTAGAGCCCCACATGCAGAGCAAGCAAGCTTTGAGCAGAAGAGAGGAGATGGTTCCAGTAGCTGGGACAGTTGATGTAGCAGTGGTGAACATGCTGGGAGTTGGGAAGTCAGAAGCAGTGCTCAGCTCTGGAGGAGTGAGAGCTTCCAGACAAGGACCCCGTGTACTACAGAGGACAAGAACTACACCTAAAGAAAGACAGGTAGGAAAATGTGAAAAATCACTGGAAGGGATGGGGTTTCCTTTCTTGTGCCTAAAGTGCAGGACCTGGAAGCACTTCTTGGGTCTAGGTGTGTGTTCCCAGCTGTGCTGTGGTCTAAGTGGGTGAGGCACTGTAGTGCACCAGCTCCTTTCATCCTACATCCTGATTTTCTTGGGAAGGACACCTAGTAGCACTAGCAGAAGGCATCTGAAGCGTGCCCTGACAGGGATGCAGATTTTTATGTGTGGAACTGTAGTCGTGGGTCGCGCTGCAGGTGCTGCTACCCTGGAATCCAGATCCCGCTTGAGCGTCTACACAAGGTTGTCCTTACATTCACAAGTGTGAGGAGCAGGGCCGCTCTGATCAGGAGGCAGGAGAAGGTACAGGGCAGCTGTGAGGGACTTGTCAGTGTCCCCTCCCTGGTCAGGACCTCAGCACAGGGACTGTTCAGCTCGGCAGACCCCTGTCCTGGCTGCAAGACAGGAGAATCAAACTGTGTCTCAGCCAGCTGGACCAAGTGTCTGGCAGAGAGAAAATGGTTTCCAAAGTCAAAATGTCTCCTAGATACTGACAGTAAGCCTTCCTCATGTCAGCTGCTCATTCAGAAAAGAGTTGAATTAGAGATAAAATTCAGCCCAGGCTGCTGCTTTCACACGCTATGAAGTACTGGCAGAGGCACTGTGTTACAATTAATTGTTTTGAAGAGAAAGTACGTGAAATACTAATTTAATGGATTGATAAAAACCATTTAAACTATTGGGGTATAAGAAGGGGCTGTGGCCATTTAGTTTAGAATACTCTTTAGTTTGGGTTTTATCTAACTTCCTCATAATTTTGAACGTTGACCTTCTCTATAATTTCAAAAATTAAAATGCTACAAAGCTATTAAATAGAGAGAGCCCCTATGTGTGTTTTCACGTTGCCATGGATATTTCTCAGTTGCAGCACTGTATTGGGGTACATATGGTTTAAAAGAAAATTATGATCCAAGACTTAACTAGTCCGTTTTTACTTTTTTTTAAATATAGCCCAAGTGCGTTAAGTCCTTTCTGTGCTTACTTTGGTTTTCCTTCATCCAAAGTTAATTTTTGGAGCTCTGTAAGCCTCTAACCATTTTTTTCAAAATTGTTTGTAAAGTAGGTAACCATGCTCATGTGGCAGACATGTAGGGAGCAGGAGAAATTATTTGCCCATCTGGAATGTTAGCTACTTTTTAAATCAATCTTTTATAAATGAAATGACAGTTTGTCCCTGTAACCCTGCAGAGACAGCCCCTAGATGTCACCTGGCCATGCATTACT